GCAGCGCCTTAGACCACTCGGCCAGAATGACATGTGGTCGATGGTAGTAGAGGAAACCCTCGTTCATCGAAAGGTCTCTCTTCACGAATCTCTTCTTCAATAATGAGTACTTGCTATCTTTGCAATTGCTAGACGATCCCAAAGCAGATGTTTGAAAAAATTATTTTCAAAAATTGTAGTTACTTTTCCAACAACGCAATATCTCCATTCCCTCATTTCCGTTGCGTCTCTAAGAGAGTATGACCTTTATTGCTCTAACTATCCTTTGTTCACCACCCGGAGTAGCTTTGTATGTGTAATTTTGTTCGATTGAGGATTTTCCGACATTGCTGTGAGGCGATTTCAATTATAGGTAAATTTATGCTGTCGTGCTGCCTGCATGACAGTTAGAACTTGGACTTCTATAGAAAAAAGGAGTATCCGAAACCAAAGAAACCTTTAAAAAAGGATAAAGTTTTTGGCGTTTATCAATCCCGTTTGAAGGATGCGCCCCCGCACTCGACTTTCATTCAAAATCGTAGTGGCGTAATGAGTGCGTATGTGGCCTATACAACGACTTGCGGTGGCCACCCGACGAAAAAGTCAGTGCTTTTATCCTCCCAGACGGGTCTGGTTCCAATTAACCGACCCAGGAGGGATGGAACGCTTGATTGGCCTAGGCGAACATCGATCCGGGATTCGAATCCCTGACCGTGCGTGTGAGATAGTGCGCCACTTGTCTTTAGAAAGTCTTAATTTCGTGCAAATTGAATGAATCCAATATATTCACTGTCAACATTTTCAATTTCCATCCTTGCACGAAAATAAATTTTTAGTCAATCATATTGAAACATTCTCAATTCGAAACACAGATTTCTCCATAAACTACGCTTTCTTACTGTTGTTATTGATTACTATTGATACGTTACTCGCTCCATACAGTCAGCAGGGAGTGGTGCGCTAAGAACGAAATGGTCGCGTCGCGGTGAGAGGGGTGTCGCGCGCGAAAAAATGTAGCAGGATGCAGCAGTAGGTAGGAAATACAAGAACAAAAGTACTAATAGTAGAATTATGCATAAAATAATGATCGGATATCGATTGAGCTGTATGAAGAACGCTAGAGCTGTAATAACGGCGGATGAGTGGTCCGCGACAGCCGCGTGCGGCGAATCGATTACCCAAAATCGTTCCTAACGCCCGTCTCCCCAGTCAGCATAATGGCTATGGAGTGTTCATTCTTAACTATCAATAAGATCACCTCGTACCGAGGTAATCTTATGGATAGTTAGGTATGAACAGTTCGAGCGGTTGCACACCCGGAGTCGCCCACGAAGCCTCACTCCATTATCTATTAGGAATCTATTCGGAAAGGCGAAAACTAACTAGGATTAATTAGTAACGGCACTTGGACTGAAAATTTCAAAGAGTTAAGCTAACGTGAAATGAAAAAAAAAGCAGAGGCGTGCAAGTTGTCATATCGACAATCAAAAAATGACCAAAGCCATAAGGAATCCTAAAGAGGAGTTCCTCTATCAGATCTCGCTCTGTTCAAAGGCACAGTTCACGATAATTGTGGTAATCGAGATTACGATGAAAAACGGAAGACAATATCGAAAATAGTGCGATGAAGGAGGAGAAACTGCGTGAATCGGTGTTTCCAAAAGGTAAAGAGGCTCGGAAAACCGTTAGAAAGGGGGCTGGACGAGAATGAAACTAGAAAAATGAAGAAGAGTGAGGCGGAAACTAATGAATATTGATCTTTGGCTTGACCACCAAACTGTGATCATTGTCTACTCGACGCGTTAACTTGGCTTCGGAAAGTTTCCAGAGGCTCATCCACCTCTACGCCACTGAGCAGCACGTTTTCTATTGTGACATAGGATCCATTTTTAATCGCACGTTGCAGTACGATGAAGGAAGGGCTCAACATCATTCAGTCTCAACAGCAAACTTGGAAATTCTACGCGCTCGAAATGCTGTTGCTCCATGAGTTGACGTGGCACCCCTTGTCGAGTTTATTCACCATTCCGAGCTGCTTGAGGTGGTTAGAGACGACTGTATGAAAAACGCCCATACGCTTGGCATTCTCTATCAGAGGTTGACGTTGATCTTCTTCGATTGATCTTAGCAAAGCGTCGTGACCAACTATGGTCGACCAACGCACTCTCTGCCTTCCAGTGTCTCCTATCCATCTCTAAACTTCTATTTCTAACCTTGAACTCGTGAAGCAAGATCGTTCAGAAAGCAGCCCTATCCACCCTTCAAAAAACACCTAATTCCGAAAATCATGCGGAGTTTTGGGTAAAAGCGCTCTGACAGAAAGAACAACTAAAGACCCACGTGACAAGCGCAATACATCGATTGATCTGATTTGGCAGTCTTCCGAAAACAGCAAAAACTTTTCTTACAACCTACTATAAGGTCCCACTTTGCCTTTTGAATCTGTTCGGGATGTGATCCAGTGGAATGAGAGTACTTCTTCAATGGGTGTTCATTATCTTTCTTATTTATAAAGCAGTAACTTGGTGTGTCGTTCTGTAGGTTTGTCGGTATGTCTGTCTGTCCGCGAAACTTTATGATAACAATAGAGCTAGTAACATTGGAAACCAGCTCTATTCTACATTTCCTTCCTATATATAAAGCAGTAACTTGGTGGGTAGGATAATGGAGTAAAGTGAGAACTGCGGGATGGAGTGAGTAACGTACAGTTCAGTGGGCACTTCAAGTATAAGAATTCGATCTGTACTAGCATCGTGCTATGTTTGTCTATACAAAAACCGGAAATGATAATGTAATTGGGAGACCTCCTTTTTCTCAACATTGAACGCTAGAACGCATTTAAGGAGGTCAATCGTAATTGTATTTAAGAACGTTCCTTAGCCGAGATACAGTTTCTTCACCCAAGCTTGAGGAGGGAAGGGGCATCAGGCCACGCCCTAGCTTTTTGCACCACGTAATCATCTCATCCCCACCTTGGCTCTCCTCTCCCACTGAAGCTTGAATGCAAATTGTATCCTTTCGCCTAGAACCGTCTCTAATCACACGTACGGTCGCCTACCACTCCTACTCTGTACTCTAGCCCTTAGTTTTAGACACACTAGCTCACTTTCTAACGAACAGTAAGGAATGAGGCCCGGCGTGAGCAGGGAGACCCGACCGGTTAGGACAAAAGCATCAAGCGTACGTAAGGGTGAGCAATAAGCTCAGTCCGGCTCGATACGGCTGGTGTACTGATAAATTTTGCGAGATTTATTGACTTCTAAGGGCGATTCACTCTGTAAACATCTATCGTATCGTCAAAATCAGTCTTGCGATAGACTGTCGCTGTACCGGTCGATCTCGAAAGAATGAAATATTCAAAAAGGTGGAGTAGGTTTAGCTTTAGCTTTTTAGATTTTAATCTTGCTTGATTGAGTTTGTTATTTGAGTTGCTTATTGCTATCAGGTTTTCTGAGTAGCATTCTATCTACTGAGTAGAGTTTAGCTGTGAGCTCTCAAAACACCAAGCTCGCATCCTAGAGCTTTTGTAATAAAGAATTTCATGTAAAATGAGTGAACAAATATAAATTTTTCAATTTCTGGGATACAGATATCGCCTGGTGTCTGAAGAAGATGCATTGCGGATGTGCTTCTGTGCTGATGCTCGATGCTCAACGAAGTTCATTGATGAATTAAAGCAGTTCGTCACTATGTTCAAAAAACGGCGAATTGAGCTCGGGTCTGTTCAAACTGTGGGTGTTCCCATCGCTTTCTCTTGAATCCACTGCTACTGTTGTGCGGAAACATCGTAATGCACCCTTGATGCCACTGCTCTCGAGCTAAGTAGGCAGTGGGGCTAGTTTATTTTTCTTGAAGGGAAAGGTTGAAGTCTAAGTAGCCCTTTCGATTTTGAGTTGATCCTTAACTGACATGCGCCCCATCCCCCCTCCCCACTCCCCCAACTTGGTTTCTATTAAAGACACAGTTCACGATAATTTGGGGGTATCCGGTTTTGACGTTAATTGATAGGTACAGCCTACAGTAGTTCAATGGTAAAACATAAATCGCGAAAAACGACAATCAAAAGAAATACAAAGGGTCAAAAAAGAAGTAAAAAGGGTGTTGGACGAGTCACACAGCCAAAAATCGCGGTTAAGGGGAGTGTTCGGGCGAATCAGACCAACGCGACGCGCAGGGCCTGCAATTGCACACAACACACGCAAGCAGCCGATTTTCTGAGGAGATGCATGTGAATATAGGGTTCAAACTGCACGTAGTTCTTCAAATGAAGGTCAAAGAGTGTTCTTGACATTGAATCGTAGTGGCGTTTAGAATGTGTGTGTGATCATAAAATGACTTGCGGAGGCTTACAGATGTAAAATTTCTCGTTATCCCACCCTTGAAGAAGGGACGGTTATCTACTATCCCTGCCCTTTAGGCTAACGCAACGTGATGTTGGAAAAGCTATTCCTGCTACATCAAAGTTTTCCCAAACGACTATATCTCGCTTCGAGAGTCGAGCACTTTCACTTAAGGTAGCTTCATTTATCTTCACAGCCTTCTACTGGTTGCAAACCGAATCTCCTTATCACAGAATATGTGCAAAATGAGAGCGTTCCTCAGCTACTGGCTTAGTACCGTCGACGAAACCGTCAAGGAAACATCGGCGCCCCAATCAGCGGAGCTCCATTCACGCAAACCTCGTAGATCAAGAACACGTTTCCAGGTGAACCCTAGGTACCTTTTTGATACTTCTTTCAAGGTAAGCCCTACTTGCATTGAATTAAAAAGTTGTGTAAGCAGTACTCCTTTGGCCCTTCTACTCTCCACCATTCGGCACTTCAATGCGAAGTGTAGACACATAGAGGCGCGTAGGTAACAAATTTTATATGTTTCCTACGCGCCATGACTTTCGGTAGCCAATCCGAGGTACAAGCTTTGCCTTTGCTTTTGTCCTCCATACGAGTTCAATTCCAGTTACACCCTACCTTGGAAAGAAAAAGGGTTAAGCATCCCCAAGCGGCTATGGAACGGGTATATTGTATTTCTAAGGTAAATTGACTCAGCACAGCAGAAACATCGAGTCTATTCTATGAATCTACATGCGCCCATGGGTAAGTGCCGGTGACTTTTGGTCCACAATAACGCCTTGGATCACGCCAGGTAACCTCGTCACCGTCATCAGCTAACCAATGTTTCAGTGAGAGCCTTATTGCAAGTGATTCGCTAGGAAAAGTCCCCGCTCATTCCGAGTTTAAGGGCTTCGGGTCGTGGCCGTTGAGACAACGATCTTGTAATGAGGTACAGCTACGGATCGTTTAACGTTTGCACGCATTCTGCCGGAGAACATGAAGGAGATGGCTGCAAGGGAATCTTAACTACAATAATAGTAGAAACCCTTTTCCCTGAGGTCCCTGACGTTCTATCACTACAAAATCCAGGACAATATGACTGATTCTACGACTTCTAACTGATCCGCTGCTTTAAGAAAAGTGCGCAAGCAAAGATGGAGCAGCACTTTGCCAAGGAACGTTGGCCAAATCCACCAACTCTAGCACAGCTAGCAGACGAGTTGAAACTCGACTTCGAGGTGACCGTTTCAAGCTATTCCTGTACCTTCTTCGCATAAANAAAGTTGAAAAGACTGAGTGCTCAGATGACAAAGCTGTACTTTTTGGTTCCATACATAGGTATACTAGTTTAGGATGAAAACCGTTTTGCTCCTTGTGATTGAGTCTCCATCCGAACCCACTGTTTTTCCTCACAACGGTTTCTGGATTTTTTTGACATGATGTTATTTCGCCGTGGCACGGGATTCGGAAGTTGCACAAGGGTGGAAGGTTATGGACACAACTTCGGTCTTGGTAGTGTAAGGGATAAGAAGCACGATGCTAGGATAGCGCAAACACAGGTTCGAGTCCCAACTCTCTCTTTCTCTGATCCTCGTCCGAGGCTGAAGTTTTGGTCGTAGCTCGGCAACCTTGTACGGCTTCTGGATTGTTCTATTTCCCAAAATTCCCCCTCCCCACCCCACTCCTCACTCCATCCTGAAGGGAATGGTCGCTTGACTTGCTTTCGTAATACACCTTCGCTACAATCTGTGATAGCTGTTTCTTAAAAATATTCTGAACCTCGTTTCAGAGTGAATTTACAGGCGTTTTCAGAGCACATCATACCCTCTCATTGGAAGCAGTTTTTTTCAGGTGGTACGAGTGTGGTTTTGCAACCGACGGCAAAAGTTCAAACGTGAACGGGAAATGGCAACGGCTCCTTTACCTGAAATTGCCTTTGTCACTTCGAACCCAGCGCTCGAAGAGCATGGATTCTCGAGAACTCTATCCTACTCTGATCCTTACCCGTTGGAAGAACTTTGCGCCACTTCGGAATTCGTTCCTTTCCAATAAAACCTTGAAAACTGCGTTTAACTGTTTTTCAGCTCAACTTCTTATTACATGAAAGGCTTTGTTTGAAAGTTTTTCCTGTCTTCTTCGAGCTCTTCATTGTGGAACTACTATGAAGCCAGTGTTTGCCTCGATGCAAAGAAAAAATGAAAGATAAAGTTTCTTGGTAATCATGAACCTCGTATTTGGCAACTCGGAGTCATAGTGGAATCATTAAAGCAACTTGACTCAACAGGAAAAGCAAGTCTAGATGGGCCTGCGATCGAGAACGAGTGGAATGGATCACGAACTAGGACGTCAGGGCGCTGATGCAGACAGCTTTTGCCTAGCCGAAGAGAGAGAGAGAGCAGCGTCGGCCAAGGTATGGGCATGTTCTGAGGCCACCCGAGATGAAACGCACTGGAGTCGGAGCTGAAGAGAAGAGATCACGTCGAGTCCCATCTTTTGGAGTGCGCTTCGCATTCGACTTCTATTCAGAATCGTGGTGGCATTTTGTTAGGGAATGTGGCCTACACAATGACGTGCGGTGACTAGTCGCTGTACAAGTTAGTGCTAATATCCTTCCACGCGAGTCTGCTACCGATGGATGATGGGTACAGGGCTTGATCCGGTTCGGTTCCGGATTCGATCCTCGGATCAACGTGTGGTGATGTACCACTTGCCATTACATCATCTCTAAGCCGTTTCCCATTTAAAAAACCAACAGGAGGATCAGCACTCCTTGTTGGTTTAAATGTTCAAACGTTATTTCAATCATAAGTCAAATTTTACTTTTTTCCATAGAAGCTTCATCCTAGCCCAACGATGGTGGCTAAAAATGAATTCTTGGGCGATAAATGCGAACAACTTCCGTTGGAACGAGTGGACGTGGGAGTAGTAAGTTGAAAAGCGGTGCCATCTCACCGAATCGAATTGCTTCATTCGATAACCTCATTCCGACCCAAACAGTATCGAATTCTGGAAGTAATCCAATCCAAAAAGGAACACTAGCCCTTCACATCCGTTGGTTGTGAGTGGGTTGGTATCCCGATGACTTGGGAGTGGAGAAAAGCTGAAAAGAACATCAACTCATTTCCGCAGCTCATTACATATATTCATACATACTCGGATTATTCACCTTCACCAGCTATCAAGCAGTCTACACAACTCCCCAAGAACTTCCTGATGTCTCTATCGGCTGAGCATCATAGTCATCGGACCAATTTTCGCATGTTCAGTTGCCAGCCATCAATCAATGTTGCCGATCAATGCTTACGAGCCAAAAACTATTGGCTAACTATTCTGAAGCATCAGTGTCTCCGTTGCATGGGACATTCCTCGAGCATGGGGACGGAGAATGGGGGAATGAGGACATGAGGGCATAAGATTGACGCAATTTGTCAACGAACATAATCCACTACTGATCTTATTGTGGGCAGCAGATTGGATGAACACGATCCCCTCTTTTTCTGTCGGAAATTGCTTGCTGCCGCACTCAGATTACGTCCAAGCCGCGTGAGCTGACCTCCTCAGGCTTCCCATACTGAATGCTTTTACCACCACTATTACCACCACTCTAGCCTACTTCGGCTGCTGCCCTTTCTGTGCAACTCCGGGGTTTCTCTGCCCTTTCTGAAAATGGGAGTATTCCATCGGTTGACAGTGATTTAAGGTTTTTTTCAAGTTTCCTATTCGGAGTTCCATTAATTAAGACGCCTTATATAGTCCTATACTGGGAAATTTACCAAAATCCTCTCAATAGCGCTGTGCTTAAGGTGAAACTTTAGCGATCGATCCCTTCCACAGCTCTAATTCATCTATCTTTTCTTTTTTGAAACAGAGCAATTCGATTTTTGAGATTTTTGTGTTTTTTGAAGCTCAGTTTCATCATTTGTGTAATGTTTTCAAGTGTTCATTAAGAGCTTCCCTCCATGTCTATTTGTTGATCTTCTACCGTAATCCTCTCCCCATCTGTCAGCGAGAGCACTACATAATAATTATATTAGCCAGACTGCCTTCGGACCATCACCATTGCCAGCCAGCCAGCCAGTCATTCTAAATGCTCTCGGATTTGGCGGATCGTGTCAACTGCCTATTAAACTGACAGATTGCCAAAGCCGAGCACTTACTTATGACAACAATAAACACTGAATAGAAGAGGAATCGCATGCATTTTTGCTTGTGCTCTCACTGTTTCATTTTCTAAGGTAATGCAAACGAAGATCTTGCTTGATTGTGGATTGATTCTTTTTGCACAAACATTTAACTACTTCCATACTGGGGGACCTAGTAAAATTAAGACCTAAGTTACAGCGATGGAAAGCCGCGGAACCTTTTCCAAGTATAAAGTTGTTCCTATAAGCCGAATGAAGCAAGAACTCGCCTCCAATCTTCTTTCTAGGTTCAGAGCAACTTATTCGAAAAAGTGTGAATGCAGGAGTTTGTCGTGGTCATTTTTCTTCTAAGAAAAAAGCAATTCTTCCAAAAAGCAATAATATTATACTTAGTATCCTATTCTTATCCGTATGTATTTTAAAAAAATTTTGGGCTTACAGTATATTACAGAATTCCAATAAATTTCTTCTTTTTAAAAAGACAATACCGACTTTTATGATCAAGAATTTCGTTCATAGTAGGCTCTGCTCCAATGAAAGACAAAATTGCTCTTTATAACAACATCATTACATCGTCATTACATGGTTCCATCAAAAACATGAATGAAGAAGAAGTATACCTTGGAAGGAATTGGCTTCATATTTTCAGAGATAGAGGAATAGTTTTTCATTTTTTTTTCCTATTAGCAAGGTCGTCATTCGAATTTGGTAATGAGGGCTTCATTCATTTGTTACTACGCTCAACTGAAAAGTCACAGCTTAACCGAGTTGCTTTCCAAGGGGTCGATCTTTACTCATTCAATCAAGGCAATCCATTTTCCTAAGACAAGTAGGCAGCTGACAAGGGATGTGTGGGGAGCCGAAAACCCAGACCCTGTTGATGGCTGCTCCAGACAAAGCCTTTTGCAGGCCTATCCAAAAGAATCATATCTGAGCCGACAGGAATTCGAATCGATACCAATCAATGCTCGACTTCTTCGTTACTAGTCTCATAGACAAATGAAAAATCGATGGATCAATGGATATCGTAATGTCCCCTTGAAAATAAGTCGGCCTCGATCGTCGAACAAACTGTAAACCAACACAAATTGAAAATCTAAATTTCCAAACTTCTTAGGCACTTTTGTTCGATAAACAATCTCTAGTTAATTGTAATCCAATTACCTTAGCAAATTGGTACGCCACGTTAATTACCACTTACGAAAGTGGTCATCACCCCCGATATGAAATTCATGCATAATCTCCTATCAGAATTTGTCATTACCCCGTCTATTTGCATTTCTGTATTTTCACGTAAAAGGATTCAGCGTAGGCAATGCCCGGAGGCCTTAGGTCTGAGTCATCCAGGGATGGAAGATGGCGGGAGAGACAGCAAACCGTGTATGGTATGTGTCTTTTTGTAACGACGACGACGACGAGAGAACCGACCGCATATGCAAATGTTCTACGTGGGAGATTCTGTTTTCCGATTGTGGGCTATTGATCCATAATAAACTTCAGACACTGTATTTGCCAACGGTAACCACCATACTGACACCCGATAATCCCCGTCATGTTTCCCTTGAACCCCTGATTACAGTATCTTTCCATGGAATGTAACAAAGTGACATTTTTCGAAGAATATTCTACTTCGTAAATCGCTCCCATCCACCCAGGATTTTCTAGGATTTGGGGATTAAGCTGAACATAACCGACTAGGGAGGATTACCACCTGTTTTTCTGTAAAACAAATCATTTAGGCAGAGTTATCAACAAAAGAGTTAACCGCACCAGTGAATCCCCCGAGAGTACGCCTCTCTCACGAGATTATGGAAATGAAAGGGCAAGAAAGGGAGCGCTATGGCGGTGATTCCCGCCGAGCAGAATCGAACTGCACACAAGTACCTCCGGATTATCTCATGTGAACTAGAGATTCCTGTGTCGAAGAACCGCCGCCAACCAGCATGAGCGCTGTGAGAACCTTGAACTGGCCCTATTCACGGGGTTAACGGACCATCTCAGACACGTCCATGCTGCGACTGGCCACTAAGATGATTCACAGCCCCACGCCAACCCCCTTAGATGTAGTCCGCTTAGTGAATAGCGTTATTGGCCATTAACTCTCAGTCTTCGAGTGTGGCGACAGCTTACGCGACAAGGCATCAACGAAAGCCTGGGAACAAATGAGCTTTCGGCAGAGCCACCATCGCCGGCCGCCATCCTCCTCAACCTGCTGACACCTATTCGGTCAGACGATCATGCAACCTGTCCAGGGCTCAAGCAAGCTGTCCATACGGAATTGCGTAAGCAGTGTCACACAGCGCAGTGTTTGCGCCGCGCTGCTGATCACCTGGCTGTCGCAGTGTTCATTCTTGATGCAAATCGCATGCTCTGAGCTCATTCCACGAAAGCCTCAAGTATAATGAGAGCCGCATGGAGTACCTTGAGCACTGGAAGATCAAAGCCTTGGAATGTAAGACTAGCCGGAACCTGTAGGGGCTGATGACAGGTCGTATTGGGGTCGACTGGTGTCAGCGGCGTATGGTAGCCCAAGCGGTGTGGGGGGGCGTAAGTGGGGCGGGGCGAGCAGGCGGCGACGAATCACGGGAGGGCGCGCCTTTCTGCTGAAACACATCCCGCCACTCGTCCATAATGCTGGCCAACAACCTGTGTCCATCGGAAGAAGCTCCGAACTATGCTCAGGTGAGACCCATACCTCGTAGAGGTAGTTCTGGGTGGGAGAACTCACCTAAGGCCACTTACCTTGCTGACTGAAGTGGCCGTGGCCATTTCGGGTCGTGCAACGATGCAAATGAACCTAATGTTTATTCATTTCTGCCTGCTTGTTAGGCGCATCTGATTTCGCGAACCAGCACTAATAGTTGTGCAGTCGAACAGCTTCGCCCGGAGCGTGTTGTTTCGCCGGGGGATGAAGCGTCGGCACTCTTCATCACCCACATTGCTCACCGTTTCTCCACTTCACCCACCACTCATCGATTATGCTTTCAGTTCCAAGTGATCAAGCCAACTTGTGAAGCTTTCCAAGAATGGAATCCGGCGGCCGCGGCTCCTGTGCAGTATCCTCAAGCTCAACAGTTCCCATTTCTTTTTCCGCAGTCCGAATGGTCTTACCCGACCCATTTACAATTGCAACAGCCGACAATGCTTCAACAACACGAGATGAAGGTTATTCCTATCACACTTGCATTTTACTTTTCCTTTACTTCGTATTTGTTACAGTAAGATGAGTTTGTTTTTGCCAAAGCTCCATGTTTCCATTTGTTCTTACTGTCATCGTTTCCGTCTCAATCCAGTTCAATCAATTCACCAACTGTACACCTCCTCCTCCGCCTTCTCCTCCTCCTCCATCTCGTCGTAGTCGTCGACACGCTAGCCTGCTCCGTCTGCCTTCGCGCCTTCTCAATTGATTACGACTTACCCTCCCTCTCTTCACATCTTAAATCTTTTTCACCTCCTGATACTAGTAGGGGAGAAAAAGTTGCGACGTTCTGATTCGAGGTCGCTAACGCTCCTACCAACTCTCGTACTCCTCAATTTTTAGTTGCGGTACGTTCTAGAACGCTACCTAAAAGGTTGCAACTTCAGGTTGACACCGAACGACCCGAGGTGATCCAGAGGCTTCCTCATCCATGGCCATATCCATTCCCGAACGAGGATGCAGCCCATTCTCAACTGTCCGACGATTCAGAACCAGGATGTCCTGACGACTTGGAAGCATTTGCCAAGCAATTCAAGCAACGGAGGATAAAACTAGGGCAAGTTCCTATTTGGATCTTTCCTTTCGTGATTCTTTTCTGATATGAAGTCGTTTTAGTTACACTCAAGCGGACGTCGGTTTGGCATTGGGAACCTTGTATGGGAATGTGTTTTCTCAGACGACGATTTGTCGATTCGAAGCGCTCCAATTGTCGTTCAAGGTTGATTTCGTCGTCAATTGTTTGTTGCCATTCCGTCACTCAGGACGCAACACTTCTTTCTTTTTGATCTTTACTCAAGTATCCAGTTACATTACTTAGGATTCCCTTTGTAAAACTAAAATGGATTTCTTTTTTTATTAAATATTCCATACTTTAGAATATGTGCAAACTGAAGCCATTGTTGTTCAAATGGTTGGAGGAGGCCGATTCCACCTCTGCAAGTCCCAACTCGGCCTTTGAAAAGATGACTGGTCAGGGTGGTAGGAAACGAAAGAAGAGAACCAGTATAGAGGTGAGTTCCTTACGATCTCTGGGGAAGTGATGACTCTGATCGTAGAAAAGTTTCAGGTGAATGTGAAATCCCGCTTAGAATATCACTTTCAAAAGAATCACAAACCAAACGCCCAGGAGATACTGCAAGTGGCCAACGAGCTCGGTCTCGACAAGGAGGTTCGCTCTAATCTTCCCTCTTCTTTCCCACTACTTTATCTCCTACTCTAAGGTACGGTCCTTTAGGTGGTTCGTGTTTGGTTTTGCAATCGACGGCAAAAGGAAAAGCGAATGACGCCACAATTCGATCAACAAATGATGATTACTAGCCCGTATCCACCGTCAGATATCTTCTACCCCAGTGGTCTACCTATCAATCCCTCCCAGTTTGAACTTCGGACAGGATCTGGATCCGCATGAGAGAGCAGGCAAATTTCATCATAGAACCATACACCACTACCTCCTCATAACTCCTTATGGGATATCCCGTGAATTCCTCTCCTCTTGTTTCACCCGGCTTTTCTCATCGGGCCCTTGATCTCCGCCGCCTCCGATCATTTGCTCCTTCGCTCTTCTTCAACGGTGTCCGATGATGATGTCTGGCTAAATTTCCGTCATTTTTTGTTTGTTTGTTTCCATTTGATCCGAGTGTGTACAGAGACATTCCATGGCTGAGTAAAGTCCGTAGTTGCGTATCCTGCAATTTGTTCTTCGCCAAATCTGCTCAGCTACCATAACCCAGCCACGATATGCCGCCACTTCGTTATTTTCTTCGTATATTTTATATGTATGGACCTTGTTTTATTAGTACGTTTATACTTTGCACAAGGGTAGCGGGCCCGTGGGGGCCCGCCGATTTTCATTCTTTTCAAAACAGAGAGACGTTATTTATTTATTTTTCGTTAATATTCACGTTGTTCTGTGAGACCAAATGTGTGATATTGCTGTAATAAATTGGATGCCATTGAGCCATCTCGACCTAGAGCTTCCAAATAGGAAGGTCTTCACAAAAGTATTGGTGTTGGGGTTGTCGACGTGATGAGGACCTGCAGCTCGGGGTTGCACTTTCGCGTGTCGTCGCAAAAACATAAGCGTATTCATGTGAGCAGACGGGATCGTGCGAAAGTAGCCGACGTTTTTGCCTGCTCCGTATACCTGTACGGGTAGAAAAAGTCGGTGTGAAGGCACAAAATGGAGTTCTGTGGGAGAGCTGGAACGGGTAGGGTGCGAATATCACGCCAGTCAGTCCAGACCTCCATCGCTGCGTTAACCTCATCAAGACCTCATAAATTCAAACACATTTACTAGGGGGGTGTGAAGAGGTTAATCGGGCATGGCATTGTCTTCGACGATGCCGTCACTCACATCGGTCACCCAACGCCTGCACATGCCATGACTGACTACTGGGACTACCCCGGGAATGTGGGCGAAAGCACCTGCTCTTCCCATGAATACGACGATCAAATTGTCTCTCGCACCCAATTATCGCCATCTACGGAAGAAACCCGCGGTGGCCCCTGACCAAACGCCAATGCTAATAGCAAAACGCTACCGATAATTCGCCAGCCAACTGCCCACTGGTTGCTTTCGTCGCGTTCTGTCAATTGCTAGTCTTCCACCAGAAGATGTTCCAATGCGTCAGTTAGGGGCATGTTTAGGGCTGACTACTATGCTACAGACTTTGAGTGCCGCATTTTAGCATCTAGCCCAGAATCCCCTTGGCTCGAGTTCAACCGCGTGTGCCTTTTCTCATCAAGGTAACCTCTCTCATACATTGCAGTCTTTCTACTTATTCCCATTGTCANTCCAATGCGTCAGTTAAGGGCATGTTTAGGGCTGACTACTATGCTACAGACTTTGAGTGCCGTATTTTAGCATCTAGCCCAGAATCCACTTGGCTCGAGTTCAACCGCGTGTGCCTTTTCTCATCAAGGTAACCTCTCTCATACATTGCAGTCTTTCTACTTATTCCCATTGTCACCATGTTCCATCAACGATAACTTTGTTTGCTCTTCCTATTGCGGCAGCCCATATCCATCCACATGCGGCTACTAGTACCCCACGAACAACGCTAGCACCTGCATGGGAATCCGGCTTGATCCCACTCGACCTCGAGTCTCAGCTGCCAAAAATGACACTATCGCCGAGCAGCGCCCATCACCACCACATCAATTACTCCCAATCCTTTGTCTGGCATCCCAAACGTCGTTGCGCTTCACTCTGTCAGCCCCATAGCCCATACATACCCCCCGATACCGTAACCAAGCGTTGGGATCGATCAACTCCCACCCGCCTGACATAGTTTGCCTGTTTGATCAGGCGCTAATTTATTCATGATATTCGTATGAGCTTCGCCCAGACTGTGTCGCTCGCGACCTGAATCGAGAACGAAAAAACGGCAACCGGTGGGACTGACGGTAGTGTGGTGGACGAGCAGAAGCAGCCACAGTGAAATCCCTTTGGTCGTCCTTATACATGTCTCCTGCTGAGTCGCATCGCAACATTTGCCTTTGTACATGGCGGTAGACTGGTCTTTGCAAACCCTTCGTTTCACCATCTCATTACCATAAACGAGCATTGAAACTACTCTATGGATTGACTCCAGAACATGCTATTCGGGCACCCCACACAGCTGATTCTTCACCTTTCGAACTCCCGAATCCAGTAGGTACTACTAGCGAGAGAGTACCAATACCCGTTCCCGAACAAATGACGCCTTCAATAAGGACCCAGAACATTCTTCTTAGCAGAGGGTCTATTTGAATCGACTTTTGCCACGGTATGAACGATATCCTCCGACAAAAACACTCTCACGTCCGTCGCTCCCGAGAGATTACGGTAAGTGGCAGGGTATCGGCGCCGGCAAAAAGGCATGCCGAAACAGATTATAACCGTACGTAATGCCCACTTCACCCAGCCGTTACCTTTCACACCTACTGAACAACGCCATTGCCTACGAGAATCGTATGTAACATGGGATACACACACAATGGGAATAGTTTAGTTAGAGCAAATACCCAACAATAACATCACTTCCGAAAAAAGATCATGCTTCCGTCGCTTGGTAGGTGACAGGTTCTGCTTGAACGGTGGCCTGATTGCGTAGCTCATATTGCTCCAGCTTCCAGTGTTGATCTGCAAGCACCAAATGGACCAGAAGTGGNAAAAAAGAGGAAAAATACCTTTCAGCTTCCCATACACCTTCTGTAACTCCCTTTCTCGTGCTTCTTGCTGTCGTACTTCCTGTTGCAAGCGAGACACTCTCTTGTTGATTGACTTCATTTCATGTTCAGAAAGTCGTCTACAAAAACATGAGATCTGTACCTTCCCTCACGTTTTCCGAAAACCCTTTTGAGCTCACCTGAAAGTCTCCTTTTCAATGGCTGCCATTTCAAGTTCATTGCGCACTTCGGCTAACTTCGCAGCCAAGTTTGTATGGATGGCCTGAAATAACCAGTATAGTATCGAGATCGTTTCTGATAGGGGGCATCACATTTTTGAAGCATTTACCATTACACGGTCATGTTTTATGTTTAGCTATGCGTATGTCCGTCTTTGACTAACGGCCCCAAACACAATAGGAATAGTTGTAAATCAGACAGCTACTAAGGTCGTATAGAGGTCAAAATTCCTCGTACGGGACCTTGCTGAGTGAGCACTAAGAAAGGAGAAACCTCGCAACGATTGCGTCCTACAGCTACTAGAGGGATGGCCAACACAAACCTCCGAGTCTATTTACCAAGAGATATTTTTAAACTGAAACTCTGCAAGCTGGTAACGACCATTGCAATCTTATTCAAATGCATTTATGGTAAAAAAAAAAGAAAATGTAAAGGCAGTTTCAGGAAATCGGAAACTCCACGATGAAAAAAGTGTACCATGAAAATTTCGAAGCACAAACGATGCAGCACAGTAACACCAAATTCATAACATGCCATCGATTACTATTGACCATTCTGCCTCGAAGAAATTTTCAAGGGCCTGTCTCATCCACGTTTTCGAAGGATTACAGGTGTCTCATTTCATACAGAATTTTGAAAACACCTTAGAAATTGTACGTCCGCTGTAATATCTAGCAAGGTGCAGCGCTCTAGAAGAAATTTATTCGGGCATATGTTACCACACAATCCCGCTTAGAGGACAATTATTAGCAGCCCAAAATGATCGCAGTTGTCAGAAAGCCTTAGGATCCCATTCTCTGTTAAGTATTTCCCGGTCTTTTTTCATTCAAGTCATCCCGATCCGCACCCACTGATTCAACCACCCAGGTGGTAAAGAAATCACAAGATTCGGCCGCTGTTCAAAGTGAAGTAGCTTTGTTCATGAGGGCATCGACTAGAATTGCTGGTCATAAGAAGTATACCAGTTATCTCACACCCAAAGATACGGTGAACAAGTTTCCCAGCCCACTTCAGATAATCGACACCGACAACATGGACACATCATGCTTAATAGTGGCGTAAATGCCGCACATCTACGCAATATCCTAGGTATGAATACATAATTTATAGGTCGAAAGATGTACAAATCTTAACCTAACAACTCTCTTACAAGTTCTACCTACTCTTTTCCCACCGGACTGCCAGGTAGAGCTTTAATGCTGTTAAGTAACATCTAACCCAAATGATCCTTGACTGCAGCGCCGTACTGCTTCTCGAGCTAGGGGAGATCTAATCAAATTTACATACAAAATGCGCAATCGTTGGTGGTACTCCTGCCCTGCATTTTGCTCGCGCATAAATTACGGTCATGAGACTTGGCCGACATCCAGGGTCTAATAAAACAGCATGAGCTCTTAAACCCTTTCTTCGCTCGCTATATCCACTATCTTTAGTCAAAACGGGACGCACTGAATGGACGGACTACCTTCAAAAAGGTCTTCGAACGCTAGACTGATAGTAAACGCAACAAACCTGATAACCACCCAGCTTGATTTTCAGTTTCTTCTCCAACTTTGCTGTCTTTTTTGCTCTTGCGTTCATCCAGTCACGATAGATCTGCAATGATCAGTGATATCCGCAGGAAACCTAAGTCTAGACCGGTAAAAAGACGGTAAGACGATGGACTAACTTGAAATTGTGAATGTAACGCCTCAATCTGATCTCCTCGAGACAATACAGCAATTCTTGTGAATTTGCCACGACTTTGTACCAGCTCTGAACTACACTGCTCTATGACAGCCCACATCGATGCGTCCAATGGGGGACCATCATCACAGTTCTTCCTGAAACTCCCAGTAGAAAAAAAAGGTGTCCCAAATACTATGAAGAAAATGGGACCGAAAACATACGTAATCATTTCCGATGCAGCCTTGATGGCAGATTCATCATAAACTTCACTAGGAACTTGATCCTGAACGTCCCAAGCCACTAAGCGGGCCATTTCTGCTTTGATTAGATCATCCGCCTATAAGGAGTTGGAACTTAATCTCAGACCAAAACTGTTCGTTGGGCGAACGTGTAACCTGCATGATGTGTGGACTAATTTATCAGAAGGCAGCTGTGCTACATGACATACTGTCAGCGTATCACCAACCACCATCTTCAAACACTTTGTCATAATGAAGAAGACGTGCTCTTGACAACGTCCTCAGCCCACCACCATGCAATCTGTCACTTTCACCCAGACGACGACAATGAGATAACAGATTGATGAATGGCTTGCTAAAATAGCATTCCATAAAGGACCACATAATTCCAACATACCCTGGCCATTTCCGTTCTGTTCAATGAAGGCTTGAAAGCAGCGTCACAGACTTTTGATGGTTTTGGAAGAGAGCGTTGGATGACCTGGCAAAAAAGTGCTGCTCATACCGATTCCCATGGAACATAGTAACGGGACCATACCTGAGATCTAGCAGCCAGCTCTCGCTGTCTCTTAAGCGCCCGTTGTTTGGCACGGAGTTCTTTTGTATCAGCCGCATCATCGACCCATTCCTCTCCATTTTCCTCTTGCTCGTCAGCTTCCTCACTTTCACCTTCAGGAGCAACAATTTCGTAGTCATTACGTGGTTCTGGCAGAGATGCTAGTGCTCTTCGCAGCTCTGCTCGAGCTTCTATTCCACTTGTTGCTCCTCCTTCATTGATACCCATCTGATCACGGAATGCGGGTGTTGCACCTCCCGCTCCAGGTGTGAACGAGCCCACGGAGCTGGGTGTCGCTGAAAACGACAAAATCAAAACAAAAACACAGTCATACTTGATGTGATCCGACAATTACCTCCAAAGGTGCTGGCTGGAGTGGCTGCCACAGCATTGAGTACAGTATTTGGGGTAGCTTGAACGCGTGGAGTGGGCAGTACTCCCGAGAAGTCGGTTTCTTGCAAAGGAGTGTTCAATCCACCTTTCAACGGCGTGTCTACATTCTGTAGAGCGAGGATGTTTTGAACTTCCTAAAAAAGAAACAAAATTAGGTGAAAACATTTTCATGGCGTAAGCTTAGGGGCAGAACCAACAGGCAACTAGTTTCTTGCCAGTTCAATTAGGAGTTCATCATCATGAATGAACCTGCGGTTAGTCCTAATTAGCCACTTAATCGTTATGTGCGCTTACTGCAGTCAATGACCATAGTGCAATCCCAGTAGCTACCGTAATCCGCTTGTTTGGTTGGAAACGAGCGTCGCTCTCAAAATGGAATTATCCGCGGCCGTTCATTATTATTCCTGTCACGCCGTGGCTGCGAGCTCGCTCTTCCTGTGCTACGTTCATCAAACACTGTGTGAAGGGAGCACAGCACACCATAACTGTCACCCACAAAATTCAAAATGAGGCTATGAGGTCGAAGAAGATCACACCAATCATTCAGGACCATTTCGAATCCAATCACCAGCTCATCAGCACATTTCTCATTGCCACTAACTGGATCGTGGTGCTCAAGCTTTTCTACAAACCATTCCATTAGGATGTTAAGCAGAAGAAAAAAAGTTGGATCCGGGGATTAGGAAGAAGCAGCATTGTTATAGAGTCGACACTTTCTCTCCAGTTTCGCCATCGCCAAAGTACTTTTACTCAGTTCACCCTTACAAGAAATGAAAAAAGCGAAGGAGGACTGAGTGTTATTATTGGTCAGTATTCTTCAAATTTCGTGATGTTCGTCACCATGGTCTTCTAAGCATCCCAGCACTAGTCTGGGATGCGCAGAAACTTACTAATAATCAACTTTTCCTTGACCTAACTAAACTGACTATCTTATGGCTCTGAATAGTAACAAAAAGAATAAGTGACATAAAGAATAGACTCGTACACCATGCGCTCAAGCAAGGATCACTCGCCAAACTCACTAAGGCCCTTTCAAGGAAATCAATGGTCATCACTGACCAGGACGTCATGAAGAAGTAAAGTTCTTCATTGCGTTTGTTCTTCGTCTTCAAAAAGCGACCACTTAATAGCCCCTGTGAACGAATCACCCTTTTCACAAGTTTCTGAAGCGATTCACTCACATTTAGGAAGTGGAAAAATTCGAAACCAAATAAATTACTGTAACCGCGCACATAGATCCGAAAAAAAGTTTCAACTGAAACCTAGCATGACCATTCGTAGGTCCTATCAAGGGTTGCAAATTTGCTATTTACTAATTCGATATAAAACCAACTGCGAGAATGTGCCAGTCGGCGCCAAAGCTTTTACGGTACCCGTGGACCGAACGTAAAACCACAGCCATGAATCGTAAATCTGAGGAGATCTTGAAAAATGCATCATGAAAGAAACTGAAAGCACTTGCAGGGGCTGACCTACTGGAAATAACGTCTGTGGGAGGAGCGGATAGGGCGAGCAGCGCATTACGTACTATGAAATTCTAATCAGTCGCGTACATGCATTGTGATCAAACGTGTCCATACACCTCTCAATTCTACGAAGACTTCGTGCCTTTGAAATGCTTCCTTCAAGGGCGGTCCGCTGGTTCCGGTCGCAAACTAATGTCCAGATGGTAAGCATCACATCGAACACCACGGAATGTGCTGAATCTGCAAACGCATTCACAAGACAACTGGCAAACGTATCATGCTCGCACTGTGGCAGCGAGATGTTATGCAAATCAGAATGAGAGCTGTTCCTATCTTGAATTCATCACTAAAAGCCTGCAGCGGCACATTGCTGACTGAAAAAGCCTACCGCCACAGAACCAACAAATCAAACTAAAACAACACCCGTCAACGATCTAATTTCCGATACCAGCGTTGATGGAGGACCCCGTCAACGAAATCAGTGGGGAGAAGATACCTAAAGCTTGTAGAAATGCAAAGAAGCAAACTTATAAGCGACGGAAGAATACAGAAATAGTCGGGGCTGCCCTATTATCCCTAGATGATTAATGTGAAGCATTTTGCTTCAATGCAACCTCTTGACAAATTCCTTAATGGGGTGATTAATGGTATAAGGTACCAATTCTTCCACACCAGCTAAAAACGGTTTTGACCAGACCTAGGGTTAAGCAGCGGGACTACTGCTGGAATCGATATTCGCCCCAGCTAGATTTTTTTAGAGGCACAGATTGCCACAAGAACGATTCCTGTGATTTCTCCCAAAATGAACTTGTGTTCTCACAAGGTAGCTCAAGGAACGCTTACGGGTCGAAAAACGGTTTAGATGAGCGTATTAAGGCCACCAAACAGCACACCCATGGGCGGACGAGTTCACACGGCGTCGTCGACGCTGTAGAGGTTACGACAATCGCACTGGAACGCACACTTTGCGCGCTGTGAACTTACTGTAGCCAGCTATACGCAATGACACACTCATTTGGACAGCTCGTCCACCTATTCCATGCAAATTCTGTCGTCACATTCTTGCCCAACCCCCAATTCTACTCCTTTCGAGAATCTTTTGATTTCTGCAAATAGGCCACCGGAGGCAAATGGCTCAGTTTTGCTATGCGGCATGGAAGTATCTGTGGAACAGCCCTCAATCGTCTCAAAACCTCGGCTACAGACAAAGGCTGACCGATGGTCCCTCTACTATCCAGAGAATTTCTGGAAGTTCTGACTACTGGACATGACAAATGGATCCTCTACGATTCTAACACACAGCCTGGCATCCTGTGGCCTCTCCTAGGAAAAAACCTGGTAACGGAGGCCGAATCGGGCCTCCTCTTCCCACCCCAGGGTGTGTCCGGTTTAATTTTTCGTGATTCAAATGCTCTATTACGAGCTGCTCCCATGCATGACACACATTGTCTCCGGTAACATTTACTCCAATCGTCTTCAGAATTATTGACGCTGTCCGAGAATAACGGTGATGCCTAGTTTCTGCCCTGTTTTTACAGCTACTTTGGGTCCGTAAAAAGCCGTGAAAAACTGGAGAGCCTGGGCAGATTCCTCAGTAACCTCGATTTCGGCGTGCTAATAGATAAATTCAATTGTATGCCAAATAAAAATCGAAGCAGAAATAATGAGAAACAGCTCAATACTCTCCCCAGCCCAACACACAGGATCTTTACCGTACTATTTCTCACCGTACTGTTTCTAATACGAGAACATAATTCCAACTGGAAGAAGGAAGTCAAGACGATTGTGAAAGCGCAACCGATCCAACCATTTCTTGAAGTATCAGGGCCTTAGCAGCTCAGACTTGAGAAAAATTCACAGATGACATGACATTGACACCCGATGAGATCCAATGCAGTATTAGGAACTAAGGATGCTGCAACCTTAACACCTTCTATAATTTTGTGTTAGTCTGACATAAGATGTTAGCAATAACCGATTACTGTAGTTACGCCCTACTGCCCCATACAATTGCGCAATCCAATCAAACGTCGAAGCGCAATGTCGAGAACAACTTTTACTAAGAAAAACTATCCCTATGCGAATCCCCAAACGACCAAGAGTCTGTGCAGCAAATAACTGTTTAAAATCTTAGCAATTTTAATCCTCCCTAGCACCTTATATCCCAGTATAATTCTCGCCTTGTCGAGGATATTTGGTAGTAACTAACTCATCGTTCGAACACGTAAAGGACCTACACACTTCTCCTCATCACGAAAATCAAAGCCAGAATCCTATTGAAAATACAGGGCCTCTTAAAGGCAGCGTCCACGATTGAATTGCTTCCGAGTCATCTCCTTAGGATAACCTGCGGCCCCCAAGGACAGCGCATGGGAAATTGTCGAATTGGGAAACTTCCTAGAAAGGACAGATCAAAGTTTACAAAACCCGCTTAGCCGACGTGCGCACCCAAAAGTAGCCGAGTTATCACCGCCTTTTCATGGCAGCTTCATTCACAATGGAGCACGCATGTTGAAAACTCAAAATACGCGTGACCCATGGCGAAAGTGTAAGCCAACTTTTGGCTCATCGTACAACACGCAATTGACAACCCGTCTCAATGCTCTTCCATGACACTTCTGTCGTCGTAATCTCGCGCAATCCCCTTTTCTACTTCTTTTTTAGAGCTTTTTTTTATAATCCACTGTGCTCGCGCTTTCTTCGCAGCCCAGCCTTTGCACTATTCCATAAAATTACTTTCATTATTCCATTTGAACTGAGTATCATATATTATCGAAATTTGCGCCTTTGAGCGAACAATGCGGAACATGATCTGAGCAGCACTTACGCACGAAATAGACACTTTCGACACTAACTTACATCGTCATTAGAAAGACTATGCAATATCTGCTCCCTGATTTGCGGAAATTCTGTAAATATGAAAGTACCTGAAATTTACTTACCATCTGAACATTATCACGTGCTAAGGGTGTACGGGCAGTGCGAGCAGCGACAGCATTTGCACGGGCAGATGCTGCGTAATCAGTGAGAAGAGAGCTGCAATCGGAACTTCAGAAAATACCAATTCTGACACCATGTTTAAAAAAGAGTTGAAATGTCTAACTTTAAAGTCAGAAGCATACTGACGTAATCGGAAAGCGCTTACCTTGTCGCACCTCCGTCCGCATACAGTCGAACGCTATCACTAGCATGACCAATCTTAATAATCTGCTCCATCTCACGGTCACTGATCTGAGGGGCAGGTAGAATTAATTTACTCCTCTTCTTTTCTTTGGTCTTGAAAACTGATTCAGGCTCATCTTCGGGCCTAAACAATCACTTTAACACGATTGCAGCGTTTTCCCTAGAAATTCCATACTTCTTCCGCTTCAGCTTTTCCCTGTCTTGTTTACGAAGCTCGTTTTCTACTTCCATACGACGTGGTTTCTCGTGATCAGCTATTGCCTGTAATAAAGTTAAAATTCTAAATTACAAAGTACCATATCAATAAAAGAAACCTTACCCTCTGATGTTTGTCGCTTGTGTCTATTTTGTCCTCAGATGGATCGTGGAAACCAGCCGGAACGGCTTTCTCGAACGGTATCTGCAGTGTTTGTTATGATAATAAAGTGGCATCTGATGTGAGTAACGCTTTCCTTTATGAAACCCGTCAAGCAAAACACCTTTAAATGACATACCTCCCCGCTATAGTCGATCTGATTTCTCTTTAGCCGCCTGAACCTTCGTACAAGTAATCCAGCTTCGCGCATCTCACGACGTTTTTGCAATGACGCTAATCGACGAGCTTCTGATAACTGGCGCTCGCGAGCCTAAATAAACTAATCTTGATAGTAGTTTTTTGTTTTGTACTAAGAATTAAAAGTATTTGGAGGCTTTCTTCTGAATAGGGGGTTCTTCTCTGAGGCGGCAATCTTGGGTGAGACTGCCTATCACTACTTAAGGGCACAAATCCCCTCTTAAAAGAAAGAGTTCAACTCTAGAATGGATTATTGTGAGCCTAGAGTAACAAAAATTGATTCCTCGACGATTCATCGCACTTTACACGAAGAAATGCTCAACGACTCCAAATTCGAATATGGGCACAATACAGGAAACAGAAATATGTGTACGATCAGAAGTCGATGGCGCCGAAGTTTAAATGAGCCTAGGTGTCCTATACTTGGGTAAAAATAAAAAAAAAATTGAACTCAGCAAAACTTTGGTATAGTATTATAAAACGATATTATCTAGCCAACAGACAATTACAATCTATCGCTAAAGAAAAACTGAACAAGAAAGGTTTCATAGCGAAACAGTATTTCAGATAAACCCCTGCGCATATCTCGAGGGGTCCACATAATTTTGGTATATAGTGCGTACAGCATGTCTATACATATATTTGTATGAAGTACATTGCTTTCCTGTGTCATCCTGCCAGAACACCTGGAGCACACGCTTGAAGTGGGTAAGGTATAGCTATCAAGCACAGGTGAGCCCAATGTAGCTTATGCCTGAGCCTACGAAAGACGATGGATTTTCTCAATTGGATGGCGCTTACTTCAAAAATTAAAAAATATAAAAGAACATGGTACAACGCTTGATATAAGCAAACGATCAGCGATAGTGTTCAAATGTTTGTAACAGACGAGGTTGCGCCAATAGGGTTGGTCGTATGATCGAAAACTCATTACTATTCTCAAAAATGATCAAGAAACCGGGGGGAAAAGATATTAATAGACGAAAAACAAGCGAATGTTCCTAGTAGGCGTGCAGCGCGAATAGGGAATAGATGAACGGAGTTAATACAGAAACTAAATACTACGATCAAAAATGTTTCGAAACGGGCAAAATAGATAGCAATGAAAGAAACATTCGTAGTAGGCGAGGAGTGAAAGGTAATTAAAGCGTGAAGTAAAAGTTCATATTTCTGTTAAGACCGTCAACATTTGGAAAACGTGATGTAAACTGACAAAGGAAAAGAATTCACGATGCAGAGCCTGAGCTGGAATTTTGCATTATCGGTTTATGATGTCTGTGGGTGATGGAAGAAGTGACGAATGAGAGGTCAAATGCGCATTGGGGACAAGACGTGAACCTGAGCCGGTGAAACTGTGAAATCGAAATTCACAACGGGGTTCCGGAACCTTCTGACTATTGAGATGAAAGCCAAAAACCAAGCAACAATTTAGTTACCCATGGCTTCAATCAAAGATCATAGCCAACTGGCAACAAATGAAACAAGAGCACATAACTATACCTTTCGCTTAGCTTTCTTTCCTTGGGTGTTAGCAAGTCTTGCACGGGCCTCTGACAACATCTCAAGCTCTGAAAAGAAGATGAATAAATACATATGTATATTTCTACTTCTTCAACCACAGCTCCTGCATCTAGTGACATAAGTTGTACAATTATTAACTACTTAGAAGAGTTTTTCAGAAAGAAGGAGAATGTTTCAGAAAGGAACACTTACACCTCTCTTAAACTGTACTACCAACGAAATATCACTAACCATCATCATCCATATCAATAGGATCCGGACGAGCGGGTTTCGTCTCAGGGGTAGGATCAATTTCTCCAGGTTTAAGCCTTTTGGCCTCTGTGGCTTCATCATCCAATCCTTCTGCCTTCCTTTGTGCCTCGTCCAACAAGTGCTCATACCTCAAAAACATAAGCTCATTCGATGAAGATAATGTTCTCGTTGAAACTTTTGCGACAAATCTCAACTNACTTTTGTGAGTAAAAAGAAAGCTCTCAAAGCAAGATATGCAAACCTTTCGAGACATTGTGCAGCAGTTCTTCCAACAATTGGAGCAATCGTTCTCCATTGCGTCGGCATCAATTTGGCGAGATGCAACAGCTTTTCGTCTTCCTCTCGAGACCATTCCGTCTTTTTTATTCCAGGATCAAGCCATTCGAACCATCGAGCCTGTAATATTATGCTCCCTTACAGTTACAAAAGCAAAGTGTACAACGACACAACCAAAACTAGGCCTTCCTCACACAGCCTGATGCAACTGGAGAACTTCGGCAGCCCCCTCCCACTCAGTATAAAAAGTAATGATCGATAAAATTTTCCGTTTGACTAAGAGAAAATCACTAATAACATCAGCAATAAGGAGGAGAATCGAGAGCAAAATGGAAAAAAACAAGGCAAACGTATCCGTATGCCTTACGTCTCCTTAAGCTTTCAGCGCAAATTAATAACTTCTTTGGGAACATCGATAAGCTTTAGATACAGGTGCAACGAAATCTAGTTTTCATTCCTTCGGCATTGATCCTATCTCAGCAATCAAAAAAATCATCCCCAGCTACTTCGCATCAATAAATACATTAAATTTCTGTGAATGCCAAGAAACACATCTCTTGGAAACATAATTTAATTTCCAGGGTGAGTTTGTGAGGTGTAGCCGCTCGGATAGTCTCTCTAAGGGCGTCTAGCATGAATAAATGTAGAAAATGCAAATGTAGTGAGCAAACCTTGCATTGCTTTGCTGATTTCCTATGAAGTAAAGACGCAATACGACTCCATTGGTTTTTCCCATATTTCATAATAGCGGCTTTGAGAATTTCATCCTGGAAACACGCAATAAAAAAACCATTACGGAGCAAAATAAAATCGTTATTACCTCTGTGTTACGCCAAACACCTCCTTTAATAATAACACGCACCATCCTGCCGTAAGTTCAACCTATAAAAGGAGCTCAATCATTTTTCGGCAATCACAAAGTGAAATAAACGCACAAAACTTTTCGGAACCATCAGAAAATAGAATAAAAGTGTGCCCATACTAAAGAACCGATAACTTTTGTAAAGTATGAGAAGTGAAAGAGTGCTACAACCAAGGGGAAGTACGTAAAAGCATTTTGAGAAGCGAAAAAACACAAATCTATCCTCTTGATGTTAGTTGAAAATTTCTGAGCTAAGAGAGGGATACAGCTGGCATAACCAAATATGAAAGTGTGCAGTCCAACCTCATTACAATCTCTGACTTATATGAGGGCATGCGAAATGGGCGGAATAAGCCACACAACAAACAACACCAGTCTGAACGATCTTAGAAAAAGGAAAAAAGTCAAGAAGGCGAAATAAGAAAGGAAAACAATGCCACGAGCAAGCGAATCTGGATGAAGCAGCTCTGATTCTGCGACATTCGAAAACTCGCACACGAGTGAGGAACGAAACGGGACGAACTCGTCCACGAGCTACTGGGCCACCTCGATTATTGGACGCCCCCGAGCATTTATTGATACCTCAACATTTAAACGATCGTCTCTCACTGTCTACAGATAAAAACATTGAGGAACAAGATCGATGCCCTCTCGATGTGGTCCGATTACACGCGCAAGGACTGATTTAGATTCCGAACATCCACCACTTGAACGTGTTAGCCGTCCTTTGAAAAATAAAGTCTGTAATGCAGACTACACACCACTTGGTTGAGATTTTTTCCGCAACACCGATGCCCAGCCATTTATTTTTGATCTTTTGATTTTTTCATTTTGTTGATCCCATATGTAAGTTTCTTAGATCATGGAAGTTGACGATTCTGAAGTACTCAGTGATAAAGAAGAATCGAAGACGACAGCAGAAATCAAAGGACTGCCGAAGTCGGGCCGATGGTGGAAAAATACACGCAATGCGAGGTAAATTTGTTTGACAGATATGTTTTCATTGTTCAGGAATTCATTCACTGCAGAAGCTGCCTCAACATACTTGTGTAAAGTGCCAGAAATTCGGTATTGCATACATATTAGGCTTTTGATGGCCAACAGCCAACTGCCGAAACTCTTACCCATCATGCGCATGTGTGGAATAATGTCGTATGAAAGTGAAGTTTCATATAGAAAGCCACGGTTCACATAATGCGCACTCGGTCAAGCATGCAGATGCGTGTAATGGTCCTGCAAAAATGCTCCGTAGTTTCCCCGGATCATGGTACATGGTGCCCTATTCTACTCCTGCTCACCCTCCCCTCCCCCACCACTCTCTCCATTTCTAAGCTTCAGCAAGCTGTCGTCGACCATTATTTGTATAAAGGTGATACCCAAAGTTTGATCCGGATTTGCTTTCCGTTGTCGATCTCGCTGAGTTCAGAATCCTGCTTAATTCTCTTCGTTCTGGGCGCATCCATTGTAGGTGCACTTCTACGCAGGCCAGAGTGTTTTTCGCATGTATTATTGAGTATTATTGGATTCCACGTTGCATATTCATTTCCCACTGGATGGAAGGACGTAGTATAATGTATTTGAATCAAGTTCTCAATTCAATCGACCCAATGTCCGGAAGTATGTAGGTAATTGGAATAGGCTTACTTCTTCAAGAATTTTACAATTGAGATTGGTCGGTGATGGTGGTCATTAACACGGACCATAACACTTGTTGACTGCTATGAACCGTTTAAGCTAAGATTTCAACAAGAGACAAAAACACCTTCCTCAGTTGACAACCTATTTTGAAAACTACGTGATATACGCGTATGGATAAGTTATAGACCGTGCATATAGATCTGCGGTTGACGAGCTGCGGTGTTTCATATGCGATGTATGCTACATTGAGGAAACTGGGAGGCAGTAATGCTTTCATATAAAAGAACTTTTGGCTAGGAAACTGATGGAATGACATGACAGTGCTTGTTGTGACACTGACGTTAAATGCACAATTTGGCTAATTGAAACAATATTGGTTCAAAACAATCCTTAAGGCTTTCTAGGTGCGGCACCGAGTATGAGTAAAAAGAATAAGTGCGTACATCAGAGGCGACCTCTTGTTATACGTAGTACTATGTAAGCTCCGATAGTGAGAACTGATGCACGTGACTTCACGACCAGCTGACGGCGTCTGGGTGACCGATAAGTCGCAATTACTCTATCGTTTCGAAGTTGAGCATTCGTTCGGTGTTGGTAGAATCGACATGACTTGTTGGGTGGGATTCCCTCGTACTTGAAGTTCATACCCACGAACATCTTGTAGAACGTGCACGCGCATCCAGACCGTTCTACAAGACACGCACACACCGACACACTCTGAAGAAACCAACAGCCACACTTGGCCATTTGCATGTATAGGAGTAAATAACCGACTCACGTATGTTTATAGCCACCAATTATCCACAGAGGTCCGGACCTGCTGATATCTTGGCTATGGCCAAGTTCTACCATATGTTTTTTCATATGATTGGTGGGTTTTTTTTTGTGAAATTCCAGTCAAGGGTATGTATGGCAAACGCAGTAAAGGAAAGACAAAACATGTTTGTTGTTTTTCGTAAGGGGAGGCAGTTCTGTTGTATCTCAGTACTCGGCGCAGTCACGCATAGTCAATGTCACATGACTTAATCAATCAGTTCGTGCACATTATTGGAGTGTTTCNCCCAAAATCATTCTAGAAGTGCCTCTGCTAGCTATGAATGCGAAACCCTTCGTGGCTACGGTTTTAACATCAGTAACGTTTTCCGAATTGCGAATGTACATATATGTTGGCGAATGTTGAGACCTATAAGGTTGTTTGCTGGAATCGCTTATGCTTTTGTCGATAATCAGTGACTCAAATTCTGATAGGTTGCCTTGAAAAGTTGCTGAATAATGGAACAATGTAATACGAGATCAGCAGTGGGCACTCTTGGTGAATCTTATAAGGCTAGAGGATATCTCAATTGTTTCTACTCCTGAATTTATGCAAGAAGTATGGAGGAACGAGTGCTTGACTGATGATCACGATTTACTACAAGTTTCACATGGCAGTCTTTCTAGGCACAGTGCCGTGGTTAAAGTAAAACCGTTGAAGTCATCATGGGAAAAGAAAATGGCCGACAAAGCAAAATTGAAACAGGCGAAGCTACTTCAGCAGGAAATTCGTGATCGACAACTCCAAGAAAAACAGGTAGATCACCAGTAAAACTGGGCAACATTCGCGTTTGCTGTCGGTTCCAGTTATTTCTGTATTGCAGGAGAAGATTGAGCGCAAGAAAGAGCAGGAGAAGCGTCGTCTAGAAAATGAAAGAAAGGGCGAAGTAGTTCAGGTATATACTGACTATTTCTAGTTTCTAAACTTTTGAGGTATCCGGTAACTCAAAAGAAAACTTCAGCCTATATTTTTTTTTCTAGTCGTGTGTATCTTTAGGTAATCAGGAATACGGCGAAGTTGCGTAAAGCCAAGAAAAAACAACTGCGTATGATTGTGAAACGGGATACAAATTAGAAACTTGTGCAGTTTTCATTGTTACTTTTTCTTTCGAATGTCTATTGTTGATTTCCTTGTTGTCATTAATCCTAATAAAAAAATCATCAGAAATGTCCGTGGAGTTTGTATTGATGATGATGCCTTACAATCATCACTGTAACATCTGTCATCCTGTTGATCATAGATCTCCTCGAGCGGGCGTCAGTAAAGTCTCCATTTGTCCCTGTCGCGAGCCAGAATAGTCCAGTGAATCGTACTGGCTCGAGGGACTCTGGGAGAAACATTCCTTTCGTTCAGAGCTTTCGCGAAGAAGTCTGACCATCTCGTTATCGGCCGTCCTGGTGTTCGCTTGACGTCCCGTGGGGTCCAGTACGTCGGTCCGTCCTGGTCCAACGGTCACCACTATGTCGCATGACGTGTCCGGCGCACCTGATCTTCGATTTCTTGGCGTATTCAACGGCATCCCTGATCTTCGTTCGTTGACGGAGCTCGGAACTCCGGATTCCCTTCTGCACTTGCGTGTATAGGGAAATTCCAAGCATCGTCCTTTCCACATCGCGTTGTATGACTCTAACTGCATGCTCATCTGTAGAGTCCAAGCCTTTGAGGCGTATGTCAATGCAGGAATGACGGCAGTATCGAAAAGGTAAGCGGCCGGATGTTCTTCGTTTTCTTCACTACTCCTTCGATATTCCTAAATGCTCCCCGCGACGCGCGTTTCCGTCTACTCAGCTCCGAAGCTAGGTCGCTAATCATGTTGACTTCGGACCTATATACACATAGCTGGAGCATTCAGAGATATTCCTTCCATTCAGCGTGAAAGGAGCATCAGATACTAATCGTTTCGCAGGAACATCGTTAATTCAATCTTAATCCTATGTTTCCACAAGCGTTGTCGAATTCGGCCATCATTTGCTCCGCCTGCTCGACGTTGGATGATCTATCTATCTATGTCTTACCATCATATACAAGGCAATATCAACAACTTTAAAAGCAATGTTCTATCAGATAATGGAAAGATGCAAAGTTGAATGGGTCATTTTAAGTGTGACTTGTATACATAACGTATTTTTGGATTTGCTGATCTTTCAAATCGTCAAACAATATTTTAAACAAAGTTGTCAATATGGATTCAGGTGAGTGCTCAACATAAACGATTACACAAGAACATGTACGCCCAGTAGCGCTCATAAGTCTCCAAACGCTTCTACGCTTTTTCGTTCATAATTTTTTTTCATAATGGAGCGAATCGCAGAAATTTTGATATGTTTATCTAGAGCATACACTGCGTTTCATAAATAAATATAGGGCCAAGCTAAATTTCTGCAGTTCCAAGCTTGCAGCGCACTTTTGGAAGTGCTGTCATAACCACCAGATTCCTCATAACGGGAAAACTTAGTACAGATTTTGTTAAGAAATTTCTTTTTAGAATAGTTGAAATAATTTCCTTGGAAGGTATTCTCACCTTTTCATGAGTGTGACTACACATTCTTTAACGAAAAAATTTATTACGACAGAGTGGATGTTACAATTTCTTAATAATGGGCTGGTCCTCCATTATTCGCAAGCACTTCAGCAATGCGTCTTGGTATGCTCTCAACCGAGCTATCTATCAAATCGGCATCCAAATTTGTCCAAGCGTCGAGGAAGGACAGTTTGAGCTCTTCGACTGTGTTCTACTGCTTTGCTTCGTCGTAGATCTTCTCGACATTGCCCGGACATTCTCCATTGGATTCAAGTCTGGAGAACATGCAGGCCACTCGAGAACTGTAATATTTCTACTTGCAATCCAATCCGCAGTGGGAACGACTGTCATGGATGGCCCAGTTATCGTGCATAAAAGTAAATGAACGACGACAGTGTTGTCGAAGAAATGGTAAAAGTCGCTCCTCCAGCATTCTCTGGTATTCTATGGAATCCATACGACAGGAAACAAAAGCAATTCCTAGCTGTCCAGCTGCAGAAAGCGCCCCAAACCATGAGAGATCCTCCACCGGAATCACGTCGCTCCAAAAGCAAGGGTCCTTTGCGCAGATCCCTCCAATACCCACTTCTACCAGGTCCGTCTAGATTGAACTTCTCTTTGTCGCTTCAGATTACCTAAAACGTCTCTGAGAAATCACAAACTTGCTCGATACTAGAACGCGTCAGAATAGTTAAAAATGAACATATTTAATACATAGAAAACAGAACTGTAGTCCGTGAAGTAAAGAAATAAAGCGAGACCTGTCCAAGTCTTTATACTGCTTCCTTTCTTTAAGAATTTAGTACTCATAGATTTGTTGACTTGAAAAAAGATTGAATTCTACATTATATATTAGGTTGAGTCGTAAGTCCTCGGACAATGTAATAGCGACGACTTCTAGAGATCATAACTCGAGAAAGAGGTAACGAAAATAGACAAGCGAGGCATCGTTAGATAGAGTATAAAAAGCTCTTCCATATACACACTAACGAATACACCTGATCGTTTCAGGTGCTTGAGCGTGAGGAGAGAAAGTGCCATGTCGGCGCGGCAGCCCATGTCATACTGCTTCAGGGAATGAGGCTCCCATCGACCGAGCTTTCGAACCTTGCCGACTGACTTCAATCCACGAGTGACTGAGGATTGACTCCCCAAGTGTGACTGCCAGTTTGCGAGTAGTTTGGTACGGATCGGCTTCCAACTGGCTCCGCAGCACGTCCTAATCCAACTCCACCGAGCGTCCCGGACGGTCTTCTTCTTCGATGTAATAGTCGTCCGACGTGAACTTTGTGTGCCACTTGCAAAAGGTGCATCTAGCAGGAGCACCCTTTCTTTGAAGTTCCTTCATACGTCTATCGATCTCCGCGGGTTCTTGGCCAGATAAAGAAATAGGATGGTGTTGCGGAGGAGAAGTTGCGACCGCTTGAAATCATGGGACGTGGTTGCAGGAAGGGAAACAGTTATGTGTGTTTGTTGGTATGTATTTTGAAGAGCTTTTCATACCCTATCTATGAGTGCCACGCGCGTCCATTTCCGTCTCCTCTATCCTGAGTTATGATCTTTAGAAGTCATCGCTATCATTTTGTCCGAGGACCTATGACTCAACCTAATAAATATAGTACATGCACACTGTTACTTGAACGTCTTCACACCCCCACCATCTGTCGTAGCGTAACTTTTTTATACTCACTGATTCCATGAATCTGCTGTGATGCATGGACCACGTATTCTTGAAGGCACAGCTCACGATGAAAATTTCTTGAAGATTGCTTTTCGGAATTTCGTTTCAGAATAAAGCTATGTTACTCAATGCCATATCGGCGCTGTCGTGTCGAAAAACGGCTCAAAAAGTGCACAGTGGGAGGGCAGAAGTTGTCCCCGCTGTAGGTCACCCATAGGCTGGACGTCTTTTTTTGACCTTGTTGAGACCTCACTATTCACGATGGAGCAGATATGTTGAATTTTCACACAGTGAACAGATGAACAATCCTTACTATATGTAAACGGCAAACGTCCGTTTGTCTGTTTTTCTGTCTGTTTGTCCTTCCGAAAGTCACGTAGGCACGATGTAGATGTAAATATCAC